TTTGCTTCTTCAGCCAAAAGCCAAGCTAGGTTGTTTTTGCGACCCCAATATTCGGGTTGGACTACTACCCAGAGTCTAAAAGAAAAAAAAAAGATAGAGAATTCAAATACACACTCTATGAACTTGAAAAAAATAATTTCCCAAATTAGAATGAACACCATCCAATTTTCAGACAGCAAAGATCGAAGTGTTAAAGAGCTCAAAATCCAATTTCTTTTTTTTCTGTTTTTTTTTTGAAAATAAGTATTAAATGGATCCTAAAATTTTACATCCAAAAAATCTTACGAAGTACATTATTTACTTGAGGGAAGAAATTTGCTCTTATGGGAGCATAGTATATGTGCTCTTAAAGGAAACTAGAAACATGATTAAATTTTATTTTCAAGTTCAAATCAAGATTTAGCACTTACATTTGTATAATCTTAAATTCATTAAGCATAGTTTGCAGTTAGGTCAACTGAATATGAATTACGTAATCCAAAGAAAACTGAAACTAATTTAAGGATCCCCGATATACCTATTCTTCAATTTTGATTTGAGACCTTTGAAATTCCAAGAGCTTAAGGTTCCATTTATGGGTAACTATGAAGTTTGAAGTAAAAACTTTCCTAGAGATTTTAAAAAATTTCCTTCTAGCAATTATATTTATACTTCCCCGGGTCTCCTTCAAAGCCAAACAATCAAAATCTGAACCATCCATTCAACCTATATGAGTGCCACATGTTTGACATATCCTTGTAGTGGTAGACATGTGTTCCTTCAGCTTCGGTTTGGTGGTAAACATATCGGTTTGGGTGAGGGAAATTTTTGAACCCTTGAAGTCTGTCATGTAACTCTTTTTTTTTTCAAATCAAATGGACATACTTGTTTCTAGAAGGACTTACTTTTACTATTTGATATTCAGAGAACAAGAGAACAATATCTTTCATTTCTTTTTCTTTTTTTTTTGGTGTTGTTTGTATAAGGTGTCTTTCTTAAACAATCAAAGTAAGTCGCACCTCTAGATCTTGCCTCTAAATCTTGCTAAAAGATGAAGTTTCGGTGCCAATAATCCTTATGATGGCCTAAATATCTATTTTTACCCCTAATTATGAAGTTTAAAGCTCTCAAAAATTGGTGCAAATTGAACAAATCTATAAACATTTAAATTTTTTGAAAAATGACGATCTAGATAATGTGTTGCAAGATGTGCTATTTTTAGGATTTGAATTTTTTTTTTATCTCGAAGTCTAGATGATCAATTGCGGGGTTTTTTGATGTCGAAGTAACATTTTTTAGTGGAATTTTGAGGTGTCTTACTTCTATAGTAGAAGGTTCGTCATCATCATCATCATCCAAACCTTATCCGAATTAATTTGGGGTCGGCTTCATGAATCGTGTTCCTCCATTTATCTCTATCAAGGGCCATAACCTTGGGAAGACCAAAAGTCACCATATTTTTTCTCACTACTTCTATCCATGTCCTTTTGGGCTTTTTCTTTGTCTTTTTAGAGCCTTTCACTTGAACTAAATCGCACCACATAACTAGTGTTGTATTAGGTCTACACTGTACCTGGCAGCTCGCTTAAGTCTACTTTTCCTCATCTTATCGTCAATTGACGACACATCTAAGTTCCTTCATATGTATTCATTTTGAATTCTATCATTTCTTGTCTTGCTCCATCCATTTCAATGTCTTCATCTAAGCTACTATCATCCTATGGATATGTTGTTTTTTGACCGCCCAATATTCTGTCTCATAAAGCACGGCTAGTTTTACGGTTGTCTGGTATCACTTCCCCTTCAGTCTCAATAGTATACAGTTCTATAGTAAGGTTCGGACCTTGTATAAACTTATTCATTGAACCTTTTATGGTGATGAGATTTGTTCAATGCAATGTTCTTCTATCAGGAAACTAACAATTTATTCACAGCCAATAAAATATAAACACATTTGCTTGAACAATTTGGAATTCTGCTCTTTGACTTCTCATATAGGAACTGAATATGTGCGGGAAAATTTTGAGATCAGTGCAATGTGCTGGAATTCTTTTCTCTTTTTCATGAAATGGGAATCTTGCTTTACAACTACCAGTTTACTGCCGTTATTTCTCATTTCCTCTTTGTCACAGTGAGTGAATTGAAAACAATTGGTGGCCTCTTTCTCTGTAATTTATTTCATAGTTAACATTTTCAAAGACCATTTCAGGTCCATTATATCCATTTTCCATGGTCAGTGCCTGGCATTCCTTATTCTCATCTATTTTTGTAATTTGTTTCTACGCCTGAAACTCTAACCATGAGCTTCTTTTTCCAGGCTATCAAAGCAAGCCAAGAAGGAAAAACGATTGAAGAATATGACTACCTTCCGTACTTCTACTCTCGCGCCTTTGATTTGTCATGGCAATTCTTTGGGGACAATGTCGGTGAAACTGTGTTGTTTGGCGATGCTAATCCTTCCTCGCCCAAACCCAAATTTGGTTCATATTGGATCAAAGATGGCAAGGTTATCGGAGTTTTCTTAGAGGGTGGAACTCCTGAAGAAAACAAGGCCATAGCCACGGTGGCCAGAGTTCAGCCACCAGTGGATAGCTTGGATGAACTCCAAAAGGAAGGTCTCAACTTTGCCTGCAAAATGTAATATGTTGAGGAATGTTGCAAATTTAGATGGCAGTCTTCATTTTGATAGTCCACTAGTCTCTCTTACGTGCTGTCTTAATCTGCATGATATTGTCCTTAATAAGGGTTCATGTATTGCCTGAAGTTGTTTGACTTTTTTGGTTTGTCTATGGTTGGATCAGCATGATAACAATATGTTGCTTTATAATATGTAATGTGCCAATTATGTGAGCATATATTCCAGGGAAAATGCATTGAGGTGGAAAACTTGCTGACATTCGATTTTTGGTTTTTCCTTTTTTGCTTTTTTTAGGTAGCTGATGCCCTTTGTGTTTTAAACTTAACTAAGAATATCATCAAAATGGTCAAACTATCAACTCAAAAATTCAGAATACAGATGACCAAAATTTCCCTTCTCTGTGTTCGTAAGTTTGAACTTGTTGAATTATTTTGGTAGTTTGGCCTCACTTCGGTGACACGAGACAAATGACAACACTACCCCTCACTTTTTTCGTCAAAAAACAATTTATTTCAAGTTTTGAATATGGAAAACGTTGTGGGCGGGGGGGGGGGCGTAATTTTGCCTTACTTGGGCTAAATTACAAAAACACCATTGCTTGTTGAAAGTTCTAAAGCCCAAAAAAGAGAGTTTAAATGAACATTAACAATATAGTTTTGAAGTTACTTGTGGGCAATAATCATTCTACAGTAACCCCTTAATTGAAAAAATTAGTTGATTTGACCTTTTTGTGATAACTTCTTCATTTTAATGATATTTTTCCTAATTTTAACTTTTGAAAAAAAACAAAAACCCTAGAGATGCCCCCAGCTCTATCTTTTTCCCTCTCCCCCTCTCTCTCTCTCTCTCTCTCTCTATATATATATATATATATATATATATATAATAA